GAGCCTAACCATCATCCCCTGCGTCTCTGCTTATGAGAATCTTAATTGCTCTTGAAGTCTCCATTTATATGCTGTCTATTTCTTTCATGGAAGACTTCAGCCTGGAAATGTTTCCTTTGCTGCCATCTCCACTTCTACATATTTCTCATCAAAGGCACTTTCTAGCTTAGATATTGTTTCATAAACTTGGCATTTTTGTGTCATCCATATCGTTTATCTCAAAGTGCATGAATGTGTTACATAGAGGCATGCTGGATGAATAAATAACTGTGCTCCAGGTCTGCTAACTCCAAGTGTACTGCTTTCTTTTTCACCTCTGTACCTCAGCCTCTGGTACAGTCCAGGAGAGAACTGTCCTGCCTGCTCAGATTTAATTCATTCCTGGCACTATGTCTACAACTGCGTACCTTAGAGCTGGAGAAATTTCTAATTCAGAAGCAGTGTAGGGCCTCCTACTCCCTAGCTAGGAAGCTGACTTACAGGAAGTCCTTTATAGTGGTAGAAAGCAATGTTTTTTTATAAACTCAAAGGCCAAATGCGATCTGAGATTTCAAATCCAGTATTTATTTAAATCTTTATTTCCTCCAGGTAGACAAAAGCTTAAGTAACCTTGGGTTCTGTTAAGAAGTTTTTTTTTTTTTTTTCTCAGAAGGGCTGATTATTAGGTGTTTTGTACTTGTAAAATGTAATTGTAATTCAGTTAGCAAAAACTTAAGCACTGTGCCAAATTTCATGGTTTGGCATTAAAATTTTCTTTTGGGAAGAAAAGAGAATTGCTTGAAGTTGGTTTTTGATTAATTCCTAAAAAGGTCTTAAATATATTCTTCAGTTTTTCTTAACAATGCAGCAAAACAAGCAGGAATCACTGGCTTTATTGAAGGAGTAGAGTGTGTGTAGAATACTCCTTGGTTGCATGTGGTGCCAGATGGGCATAACTTTATCCCTGGAATGAAGACTCTTAGAGTCTTATAGAAAGGAACTTGATAATGTCAAATCTGGATGGATGTAAAGCACCTTACATTTGTGCCCTTCGGTTTTCCTGGAGACAATGGAAAAGCATTTTATGTTCAGAAAGATCTTTTCTAGGATATTGTATGTTTTGCTTCATAGTCTTCAAAACATTTTATATCTCTACTTTTATTTTTCTCATCTTACAATCTGTAAACTCATTGTGGGAAGGAGAGTATCTTTGGTTTTCATAAAATGTTCCCTTACTCTTGGCTTTTTCTGAGACTTCAAAAAATGTTGACTGAAACACTAAATTAAAATATTTGTCACATATGTTTTGTCAATGAGTATTCAAAGTGATGAACGAGTCCAGGTATGAAGATGGGAAGTGAGCGGAGATAAACATTTTATTTGTGTAATGAAAGTGACTTTTACCAAAGCACGCTGCCAGGCTTCCTTCATAGTCAGCATGCAAATTGGAATTCATGCTGTGTGCCAAAGTGGTTGTTGTGTAGATGATTATTAGTGTGTAGGTGGTGTTTATGTGGATGCACAGATGTGTTCGGAAACCCTTGATTTCTGTGGCACTTTGAACCACCCCGCCTGTATTCACAGATGAATTACACTGCATTGCGCATTATTTTGTGCCACAATTGCATTTTGCATAGTTAAGCAGGTGTATCATTTTATCTAGAGAGAATTCCACTTTGGAGAAAACGGCTTAACGAATGACTTCGCATTTGCAAAAAGTACATTTAGTTAACTATCTAAACGAAGGACCTAGGTTTCCTGGTTAACCATATGATTAATGTCTTAGGGTGACTAAGGCCTGGCTCATTTTCAGAATCAAAATATCACGCGCATACAATGTATGCCTGCTTTGATTTATCAGTTTGAAAAAAGACTTAGGGAATACAAATTGTGAAGACTGAGGAGGAATAACATCTTCTCTCCTTCTGATGAAATTCTTATCTAGTCCTTGAGGGAAAAGAACTATAATTGTCCTTTCTATGTGAGATTTGGATACACACATGGATCTGTAAGTGCACCCAGCTGTCAGCTTTTAGAGAACACTAGTAATTTTGCTTCTGGATATATTTCAGTAGCAGGCACACAAAATGGGGAAAGCTTTGAATTCTCACAAAAGTTTCTTACTGTATAATTCTGAAGTTTTCTAGCAGATGGTGGAAACTAGTACCATTTTCATTTCTAATTCTCTCCTTTTCCATTTATCTTTGTTTGTTTGTTTGAGACAGAGTCTCACCATGTAGTTCAGGCTGGCCTTGAACTATGTAACCCTGGCTGGCCTTGAACTATGTGACCCAGGCTGGCCTCAAACCTTCACTGGATCCTCCTGCCTCAGCCTCCCCAGTACTGGGATTACAGGCATGTGCCAGCACTCCTGGCTTTTCCATTCATCATTAATGTTAAAGCCCTTTCACCAACTATCTTATTTAAGTGCTTTCAAGACATGACTCATGTGGTGTTAGTATACGTTCCTCAGGGAGGTCAAGTGGAATAGTAGAAAAAAATTCTCAATTTTACCGTCAGGAAAATTAGGAAGGCCATCTCTGCTATTTACTAGCTGTGTGGACTGTGGTGAATTAATTAGCCCATCTGCTCCACTTTGCCCCATTTGAATGACTATAAATGCCAGATATTTTGCAGTCATTGAGGAAAAAGTTTGTTTTATTTTTCATCCTTCTTATAAGATTTTCAAAATATCACCCATGTACAATGCATGTCTACTTTGATTTACCAATTCTGAATGGACTTAGTCAATACAAATTGTGAGGACTGTGATTCAGAAAACAAACAAAATTCTTCTCAAGTAAGACTACTCTTATGAAATTAAGCTGTGTGTCTAGGGTGGTTTCCTTAATTGTAAGAACTTGTACTGTTTAGACAGTAGGGTTCTGCTTCCAACTTTTAAATCCTATACACCAGAAATGCCCAGTTCACAATAAATCTTATACAATTCATTGATTTTTTTTATGTCAATTTAGCAGCTCACTTTTTTTCACCCCATTTGATCCAGTTTGCAAATGTTCATATTTTCAGGAGAAAGGGCATAAGTGGGGTTGAGAAAACAGTATCCAAAGAGAGCTCCAGGGGAGCTGGAAGCTGAGGGAAGGAATGTCCACTCTACATGTTTATAACCCAGAAAGTTTCCTCCTTCCCAGTGTTCTCTATCTTTATGGGTGGAAGAGAACAACTTCTTCCTGCATCACCTCCAATTTCAATCCTCACCCCCATAATTTCAATGCTGACCATTTCTATAACAGTGGAAAAACATGTCTGGCTTCCTCCTAGATTTAGTTGATCTAGAATCCACCAAGCAGGTGGGAAGAAGGAATGGAGAGCACTATTTGATGAAAGAAAAGAGGTGGTGTTTAGGTAGATTTATACTTGAATTCTTAACCAGATGCCTGCATGATGACAGTAGAATTTTCTGGTGAGGAATTATGGACTGGATTAGGAATATGTAGCAAAGCATGCAGTCAGTTAGACCAGACTGAGGCATGGCTCCTGGTTCTTGGGGACTTATTTGACTTTTGTTTGGTCTTGCTTGAAGCTCTTTTCAGATTTGGATTTGTGAACTTTGCTGTTAAAGGGGGCTTCCCATTGATATCTGCTGAAAATGTAAGAATTGTCAGGGTGCATTTGGATTTCAAGCCTAGAAGTTTACCCATCTTTGACCAACGGACATTACTTGAAATGTAAATATTTTTAATCTTTTGTCTCCAATTTCTAGATTTTGCACTAGCTCTTACACTGTGGCTACTCCATGGGAATGTTTTTCTCTAGTGTGTAGGTTTTTCTTTTCTTTTTCAGGAGTACATGTTCTTTTACTCATTCTCTTCTCTGCTATCTCTTTTTGCTGTCTCGGCCTCTGCTCTCCCAGCTAAAACCTTAAGTCTTATGTGTCCTGTGGCTTTCTGGACACTGGTGCTTAGGCAGGGTCTGAGACGCGCTGCCTTGGGCCGTCCTGCGCTGTCTCCAGGCTCATGGGACGTCATGATGACTGCAGGGATACCAAGTCATTCTAGTGGTCTGTTTTCTGGCCACAGCTTTCTGGACTAAATCAGAGCGAAAGACATCTTCTTCCGATGAAGGTAGCCCACTTCCACTAGAAAATCTGTACTCCACAAGAAGTCTTCTCTGTTGAGCCCAACAAATTTAAATTAGATTCCAGTTAGTTAAGGATTCGACTACATTGAAAAACTCACCTCTCTTAAGCAATCACCTCTGTTTTCGAAGAGAACTTTTTTGAAATAGGGTCTTGCTATGCAGTTCAGGCTGGCCTTGAGCTGACTTTGTAGCCCAGGCTGGTCTAAGGGCCCTTCTGCCTCAGCCTCCCGAGGGCTGGGATCACAGGCGTGTGCCACCTACCACACCAGGGTTTCAAGGAGAACTTTAACTGTCTTCTTCCTTTCAGTTTGAACTTCAGTGGATGCTGATCCACTGTGACCCTCTGAGGCCCACGAGAGAAACGTGCCATGAGCTGCCAGCCAGGACCCCCGTGAGTCCCTTGCGCCTCTGTCCCCCTCACCGACCTCCCTGCTCTCTCGCTTTCTTCCGCTTTGGCTCCTGACCCAGCAGGTGTGCAGGAAGCACGCATCCCGCTGGAAGCCCGTGGGTAGAGTCCACCCCCCTGCGGGCTGGGTCTGCTTCTCTTTGGGGATCCCCATTCCCTCCCCAAATTTCTCCCCGGAAATCCTGGGTCTGTACGGGCCCACAGGGGGGCGCGCCAGGGGAAGGAGGGGGCTCCTAAGACAGCCCAGGCCGCACCAGGAGGGTGGGCGAAGCCAAGACCGGCTGGGTCGGCCAGTGAGCCGCGGGGAAGGGGTTAAGAGGGACAGTTGTCCTCCTACCCGCCCCCGGCCCCGGCTCCTCCAATCCCCGGGACCCTCCTTAGGGCCATTCATAAACCGGAGGGACCTACGCGTCCTGGCCCGGGTACCTCTGCAGCCAGACTCCGGGGGCACCTTTCGGGGTTGCGCGGCTGATCGCGAAGCCCCGCGGGGCAGCAGACGACAGAGCGGGGCAGGGGTGGGCATGGCCCGGACCACAGGGGGCCGCGGGGCCCTGGTGCTGCTCCTGCTGCTGTGCACGCTCTGCCTGGGCGCGGCGCAAGTAAGTCCCGGGGCGTAGTGGGGACGCCGGCTCACCTCCCCGCTTTCTCCACAGCCCGGGACTGAGGATGAGGAGGTGAGCTGGGGCCGGCGGAGTCCGCACTCCCCACGCACAGAGCACAGGCGCGGGGTACGGGTGCAGGCAGCGCGTCCTCTGCGGACCGTCGAGCCAGCGGGGATCTTTCTGCGCGCGGCACCCTCTGCCCTGCCCCGGCCTGGCTCCGATGGCCGCAGGCAGGAATCGGCCTCACGCCCCCTCCTGGTTGCAGCGAAGCCGCCCCGAACCCCGAGCGCTGCTCGCAGGGTGGAGGCTTCGAGGTCGGAGCCCAGCGCAGCCGGCGGGCCGCCCGAGACAGAGCCGGGCTCTCCCTCCCGGCAGGGGTGTGAGGTTTCACCCACAAAGAGCTCATTGTAACCTGTCTGTTCCTGGAGTTTAGACAAACAGAGCTGGCCTGGATAAAAGGAGCTTTCTTTTGCTCTGTTTAAATCCGGGGGCGGGGGCCCAGAGCAGCCCACCGTTCCCAAAGCGGCCGTTCCAGGGCCCAGCGTCCCTCCAGCGCCCTGCGAGCCTCGAGGTTGTTAGGTGCAAAGGCCTCGCACAGCCAGCACAGCGGTTCCCCGAAAGGAGGCCCGCTCAGCGGCGCTGGGGTCCGGGCTGCCCTGTTCCTCTCTTCTTCTCAACTCTTTGGCTCAACCCCTGCCCCTCCCGGCCCCCGCAAAGACCGATTTCCCTCCAGAGCCCCGGTCTGTACTCAACCCTGACTTACACTGCCTGATGGCTTTGGGGTCTCCTCCCTACACACCCCAACTGCCTTTCACTCAGAACCCCTTTGAGGGAAGGAGCCTGGGGTCTCTCCGCTGGTGCAGCCCCTCTACCCTGGGTGGAGATGGCTGTCTTCAGGGGGCCCGTGATCCTCACCCTGTGTGCTGTTTTAGCAGAGAGGCCCTCCCGGAGAGCAGGGTCCCCCTGGGCCCCCGGGCCCCCCTGGAGTTCCCGGCATCGATGGCATAGATGTGAGTACCTTCCAGTCCCCTTCCCGGTCCCCAGGAGGGGAGAGCCCTGGGGAAACTGGAGGAGGGTGCTGGGGGGGGGACCTGGGATCCTCCCGCAGAGATGTGGGGGCTTCTGTGGCCCCCGAATTGCACGCTTGGATCTGGCTTCTTGGGTTCACGGTGGCTCCCGCATTTCCTTCCTTCTGTGCTTCCAGGGTGACCGAGGTCCCAAAGGCCCCCCAGGCCCCCCGGTAAGTGCTTCCTTGCGAAGGCGCCCATTGCCTTCCTGTAGATGAGTCATGCTGCCCAGTGTGTCTCCTGAGTATCAACTTTGCACCCTTTTCTCTCCCTCGTCTCATCCCTGCTCAGGGTCCTCCAGGTGACCCCGGAAAGCCAGGAGCTCCAGGCAAGCCAGGCACACCGGGCGCCGACGTGAGTACAGTGTGTGTGTGTGTGTGTGCGTGCGCGTGTGTGCGCGTGCGCACGCACACACGCACAATTGCATGGTTTCTGGGTAATAGCACTGGAAGGGAGAGGAGGAGAGGGGTAGAGAAAGGAAAGGAAGGAAGGGGAGAAGAGAAGAGGGGGAGGGCAGGGGGAGTGTGAGGAGGGAGGGCGAGGAGAAAGGGAGGGGGAGGATGGATAGGAAGAGGGGAAGGAAAGGGAAGGAGAGGAGGGAGGTGGAGGAGGGAGGGGAGAAGGAGAGTGAGGAGGGAGGGCTAGGAGAAGGAGAGGGGAAGATGGAGATAGGAAGAGGGGAAGGGGGAGGGGAGGAGAGAGGGAGGAAGGAGGGGAGAGGGAGAAAGAGGAGGGAGGGCTAGGAGAAGGGAAGGGGGAGGATAGATAGGAAAAGGGGAAGGGAAAGGGAAGGGAGGGGAAGAGGGAGGTGGAGGATGGAGGAGAGAGGGAGAGTGAGGAGGGAGGGCAAGGAGAAGGAGAGGGGGAAGATGGAGCGAGGAAGAGGGGAAGGGGGAGGGGAGGAGGAAAGTGGAGGAGGAGGGGGGAGAAGAAAGGGAGGGGAGAGGGAGGAGAGGGAGTGAGGAAGGGGAAACAGGGAGGGGGAGGGAAGAAAGAAGGGGAGTTGTCAACCTAGCCTGGCATGGCCCTCTCCTGGATGCCCTCTGCATGGTGGCACTGCGAGGAAGGGAAGGAAGAGCTGAGGGCTGGCTGGGGACTTGGGTCTTGGACTCCGCCCCAAGGGCACATGGCCTACTTGCTTAGCCCCGGGCCTCTCTGACCTCTGCTAAGCACCTACAGGCAGACACAAAGGCTGAGCAAGCCTCAGTCCTCAGGAACAGAGGAGAGGACGTGTGCTGAATGGAGCCAGGGCCCTTGTGGTGGTGCAGGCAGGGAGAGGGAGGATGACACCCAGCAGCTAATCCAAAGCTAGTTTTCCTTCCTTCTGGCTGGCTTTATGGAGGGAAGTGAGCAGGCTCAGGGTTGCTCAAACACCAGGAACCAGCGACCTTCCTCCAAGGCACCCACCTCTGCCTCCATTGCCCGGGTGCCCGGATGCTGAGCTGCAAACATGGCGACCTCAGGACTGCATGCTCCTTCCGGTCCCTAGGCTTGACTTGGAGTCTGCTGTGAGGTCAGGTCTGAAGCGGCATCTGATCTCAGAAAACATGCACCTTTCTGGTTATCCTTCCTATGCTGTACCACTTCCTGGGTTTTCCAAGATCTAGAGCATTTCCTAACTGAAACAAGGCACCGCAGGCTTTAAGATTATAATTTCTAAGAATTTTTGACGGAGATTTAAAATAGTCCCTTTTCTTGGAATGAACTAATACAGCTGATTTTATCTGTTACTGAGACAGGCTGTCTCTGTCAGGATTACCACCACGAGAGAATCTTTCCATATCATTTAGAGCTTTAGGACACAAACTTGGCTTTACACTTCAAACCTCTTAGTTTTAATTTCCTGTGTAAGAAAGTGGTGGTGAAGGAACTGTCCAAGGACTAAGATTGGGTAATGCAAACTGAACGCTGAACTAATATCTGGGTAGTGCCACCTGGAGTTTTGTAGTTTGCTGGTGGTCAAGCTCTTTGAGTTACTTGAGATTGCCGTATTGTAAAAATGGTGGATGAACACGCCACTAAATAAACTAGTAGCCTAATACGAGTTGAATTTATTTCTAAATTAGTTTCGAAAGTCAGCCAGTCATACAAAATTTTTTTGTGGAACATGGGAATTGCACCAGGGCCTTGCACATACTAGCAAGTGCTTTCTACCCCAGAGCTACACCCTCAATGCTTTATAAAGTTGTTTTGGGGCAGGAGTCTTGCTAAGTCACCCAGGCTGTACTTGAACTTGCAATCCTCCTGTCTCAGCCTCCTGAGCAGTGAGTGTCACAGGCATGTGCGCTACCAGCCTTTCCTTTTACATGAAAAGAAAATTCCTGGTTCAAATTTTATGATTTTTGGTAGTTGAAACATAAACTAGTCATCTGAAGGCTTTTAATAGTGCTTTTGTAGCTTGCTTAAAAATTCTTTGCCTCCTATTATTGCATCATAAAAGCATTGCTTGTTCTTGTTTATATTTTCCCCACTTTAACTGATTTTTTTTTTTTTTATATACTGGGAATTGAACTCAGGACCTTGCACTAGCCAGGCAGGCACTTGTGCACTGAACTATATTCCTAATCCCTGAAATCTTGATAATGAGAGTGCCTTGCACTTCACAAAAATACAATGTCAAAACAATTACTTTTTGCTGTTGTTGTGTACTGTTCATCTTTGCAGTGCTATATGGTTAAAAAAAACAAACCCAAAACACCCCACATTTCAATTTTAAAGTTGTACAAGAATAAGTTTTCTTAGACGTCTAAACTTTACCCTGAAAATTGATGGGGACATTGTATCAGTCTCCTAGAACAGAGGAAGAAGTAACAGAAAAACAGAAAGAAAAGGATGGAGAGAAAAAGGAAAAATTTTCTGTATCTCCCAGAATTTCTGGCATTTCTTAGCTCTAAGGGGGAAACCAGCTGTCCTGCTTGGATTTGTTCAGAGCTTTCCTCTTGAGTATTGTCATGTTAACTGCTTTAGCCTTACAATAACCTAGAAAGTAGATTGCTTTAATGTTATTTTCTACATATGAAGATATGCAAGGACAAGTGGTTTTTCCTGGACCTCACATTGTGTTTAGTAGCACAGATAACAAAGGGCCTGTAAGGTGCTCTAGGCGTGCCTCATTTAGAAATCGATGCGATTCTTAATAGATAAGTAATTAGATTCGAGAGAAAAGTGACTGGGAGCTGTTAATACCTAAGTTACCAACTGAGAAGAAGAATGTGGATTAGGTGGATTAAAATTATCTTGAATTGAAATGTAATGATTTTCAGTAAATATTGGTGTTTCATATTCTATAATTTTTAAATTGGAACCATATAGGACTTCTGGAACTGAGAATTTTTTTTCAACTTCCATTCTGTGGCTGATTTGATGCCTTTTTAAAAATTAATTGTTTATCAGATACAGGATCTCACTGCACAATTCAGACTCCTAGTAATCCTCCTTGTTTCAGCCTCCCCTGTGCTGGGGATTACAGGAATGCACCAGGTCACCCAGTATTGGGGCTAGCAGGGCTTGCTGGGGATCGAACCTGGGTCCTTGTGCTTGCCAGGCAGGCGTTTATGCCACTGATCTATCTCCCCAGCCCTTGATTCTGGTTTTTTTTTTTTTTTAAATTCTAAGTTGAGAATGAACATTTTGGACCAGTGAAGTAGAAGTAGTTTAATTTCTGCATCCAGCTGGAGTGAGCTAGCTAGTAGGAGAACTTCCAAAGTCCTTTCTTGAGGACCAGCCAGATAGCTCAGCAGATTAAAGCACCTGCTTAGGCAGAGGCAGGGACCAGGGTTCAATCCCTGGCATCTGTGCCAGCCCCACCCCCAGGGCACCCTGAGACAGGGACAGACTGGATGTGTTTGTGTGTGCCTGTAATCTCAGCGCTTGGGAGGCTGAAAACAGGAGGGTCACTACTAGTCCGATCTGTGTAGCGAGACCCTCTAGACTCTATACTAAATACATTAAAAAACAAAATTGTAGCTCCAAAGTCCTTTCTTGGGCGCAAACCTGTGGACCTGAGACCTCCAACCTCTGCTGCTCTTTGGTTCACTGCAAAGGCTACTTTTTGGCAATGCTAAAGTGTTCTAAATTGGCTGATGTCTGGAGCCATCATAAATAGTCACAGTTTATTTCCTGAAGTGGGTAAATTGGGTCAGAAAAAGTGAGAGGGTCAAAGCAGCTGCAGAAAGTGGTTGCAATGTGGAAGGAAACCACTATGGACGATTGGGATTCCCTGATAGAAGCCACGAGAAAACTCAGGAGCCAGCTCCAGTGTTGTCCCCCAGAGCAGTGGGCCTGTGACCACCTGCATGCCAGCAACTCTCTGCCACTGGCCCACGTTCCCCGCGTAATTTCTTTGAAACAAGATTTAGAGTTTTATTGCAAATTGGATTTTGAAAATTTTGTGTGTGTGAGGTTTTAATACATGTTTCAAATGCCTCATTTTCTCTCTTTTAAGTTTGATTCTTCTTTTCCTTGTAGAAAATTAGAGATGTCAGAGCTTGCTAATAATCTTGCGTGCAAAGAAAAACTGTCATTATGATCAACCACATGAACAGAGATTTTCTTATGGGTGCAGTTTGGTGTATCATGCATGGAGAGATCTGGGAACAGTATTTTATTCTCTCTTGTGGGAGTATTATGAGACAGGTGGAAGAGGAACTAGAATTAAGTATAGCATTATGGTTAAACCATGCTCTGTCTTATAGGCAAGATGCTGTAGAGCCTCTGCGTGTACACACATTGTACACGCAGACACACATTGTGCACACACACACACATACACACACACACACTTTACCTTTGGCAGGTAGCGAGGACCAGGATAGTGAGGCCCAGAAATTATCCTGAAAGGTCAGTGTTGGTGCAAATGGGCATGGAAGAAATGTGAGGAGCCCAAGGGACAGTGCTGTGCTCCGTAGCTACAATGCTGCTTGCTTGTTCCAAGACCTTTTCTGAAGGAGACGCAGGATTTAGAATACTGTCCCTTATGCAGCCTGTCCAGACCTGCCTGGCAGCAAAATGGCAGGGTTTGAGCCTCAAAATAAAGATGGTAAACAGAACAGATGCAGCACACCTGCGTTGAAAAATCTGACCTAACTTTCATTCTATAAGGGCCAGCCAAATAGCTCAGCAGATTAAAATGCCTGCTTAGGCAGACACAGGGATTGGAGGTTCAATCCCCAGGTCTGTCCTGCTGGCCCTGCCCCTGGGGCATGCTGAGATGGCAATTGAGATTGGGCATGGTGGTGCGCGCCCATAATCCCAGCTCTTGGGAGGCTGAACACAGGTGGATCAGGAGTCTGATCTACATAGTGAGACCCTGTAAGTCCTGTAGACCCTTACTAAAATAAAAAAAAAAAATCATTCTATAATTGCACATCCAGGGCATCAGATGCTATAGCAATGTGCTAGAACCCTGAGGGACACAAAATTCTTGGGTGGTGGAGGTCACATATTCCTGCAGAGTCACTTCATCACAGCTGTCACCTCAGTCAGCAGGATGCATTTTCAATTTAACTCAAAGAAGTTCTGACTGATAGACGTAATTTCCCATGGCCTGTGGAGGATATTTTCAGCATGAAGTGACTCAGATGCCGTCTCTAGGTCTCCCCTAGTCTCCTGCGTTCTGCTTCATTACGTACAGCAGTGATCCTGCTTTAGTACTGCTAGTCGTTCTAGTCACTTGGTTAAAGAAGGTTCGCTGATTACATTGTGAAAATCGGCTAGGAGTGGATAGGCACTAGGGAAATCAGAGGATCATTGCTTAAATATACCTTGAGGTTTCTGAAATTTAGGGGCCATCTGTTCTTCCAGGGATATGTAGTTTCTTGGCTGAAGAACAAGAGCGATCATTCTGTCACCCCTGAGGCTCAGCCACTCAGGATCTTGGGCCTCGTTCCCAAGTTACAGTGTTGTAATTAGGCCAGGACAGCTGGAAACCAAAGGCAGTCTGCAAAAACTCTGTGTGTGTGTGTGTGTGTGTGTGTGTGTGTGTGTGTGTGTGTGTATGTGTGTGTGTGTATTTTTCTTTGTTGGTCAATTTCCAGGAATTAACATTTTGACTGTGGGAGACTAATAATCTCTCTCTCATTTTTTTTGTAATTTGTCTTGTGTGTGTGTGTGTGTGTGTGTGTGTGTGTGTGTGTGGCTGGCTCAGCCCACCCTCGGGATGGGGCCTACATAGCATGTGGCCCCAGGTATTGAACTGTGGTCCCTGTACTTACCTAAGCAGGCACTTTAGACTGCTGAGCTATCTCGCTGCACCCCTCCCTTTTGAGAAAATGTCCTGCTGTGAAACCCAGGCTGACTTCTAACCCATGACCCTCCTGCCTCAGCCTCCCAAGTGCTGGACTTACAGGAGCTTACCAATAGCTGTTTTCTTTAGATTCATCCTTTGGAGTAGTTAAAGAAATTCATGATGTAGGGAAATACAAAAATAGTAGACAATGAGCTTATTTTATATATGAATTACATGAATGTTTTTTACTGCTAGTAATGAAGACTAGTACTCACAATTTGATTTGTTTTTGAGACAGGATCTTGCTAACTCACTAAGTTGCCCCAACTGGGCATGAACTTGCAACCCTCCTGCCTCGGCTGCCCAGAGTTCTGCTATTGTAGGTGTGAGCCATCGTGGTTGGCTCTAAATAAGAAATGTTGATCCATTTTAAAGTAGTACTTTCATATTTTTAATTTAATAGATTTCTTTCTCCATATTACTTGAGTCTTTTTCAAAATGTTAATAACAGAAAGGATTTCTAAGACATTTATGTATATTCATATTTGTCTTTGGGGAGGTATGCCTTCAAGGTTATATTGCAGAACAATGCAGTGGGCAAAAACAAACAAAAATACATATTTTCCCCAAATGTAGACATTCAGGTCATGCATATATATCATGTTCTCATATCTATTTTGCTTTGAGAATAATGATAAAAATAAGTATTTGTAGAAATAATGCTAGTATTTAGAAGATATATTTAATAACCACTTTAGTATTGAACATGATATCTTTAAATGTATTTTATAGTCCTACACTAAATGATACAGGAAGTGGTATTTGGGAACGTATATAGTTCATTAAGCCAGTTTTTTAAACTAAGGAAAGTAATGTAGACACATGCAAGCACTGCAATAATTTGATTGGAGTTAATGTTCTTCAAGAAGGAGTTACCAGGCTGACCAGATAGCTCAGTGGACTAAAGTGCCTGCTTAGACAGAGCTCAGTGGCCGGAGTTCGATTCCCAGGCCTGCCATGCCAGCCTCACCCCTGGGGCGTGCTGAGACAGCGATTGAGACTGGGCGTGGTGGTGTGCGCCTGCAGTCCCAGAGCTTGGGAGGCTGAAAACAGGAGGATCACTATGAGTCTGATCTATGTAGTGAGAGCCTGTAGACCCCGTAGGTCTTGTACTAAAATACATTTTAAAAAAAGAAGCAATTAATCTTCTTAGAAGACAGTCCAAGGGCTCTAGGGCTCTTCTTATACAATAATGAAATTATTTGTGCTTAATTCTATTGAGGAAACATTTTATTCACTTTCAAAACATTGTTGTCCTGTAGTTAGAGATACTTTGTTTGTTTGTTTATTTATTTATTTTGCAGAACTGGGGATTGAACTCAGGCCCTTGCGCTTGCCAGGCAAGCGCTTATTCTACTGAGCCATCTCCCTGGCCCCTTTCGTGTTTTTATTTTATAAATGAAGTAAAATGTCATAAACCTGGGTGAAACAATCAGACTTAGCTATCAGAACAATATAATTGTTGCATTGTAGTCTCTCAAAATAGAGACAAAAGCTGCTAGATTACTTAATTCTGTGACAAATGAGGCATTAAGTAATAAGTTAGGAATACAATATAATTCATCAATAAAAAATAAGTAGCAGGCAGAGCTCATGTGAAATCTTACCTTTTAATAAAAGTATGGGCAGACATTACTTGTAAATATTGGCGTAGTACATAGGCAGTGACCTGCAGGAAATTGACAAATAAGATGGAATGCTTTCTCCCAGTGATTTGTCAGAGTGTGTTACAAGAAGTCTAGGGGCTGGGGAGATGGCTCAGTAGAATAAGTGCTTCCCTGGCAAGCGCAAGGGCTTGAGTTCAATCCCTGCTTCCGCCAAAAAAAAAGAAAAGTCTAACACCATGGTCTTGCTTTGTTAGGGATTAACAGGACCTGATGGGTCCCCCGGCTCTGTTGGACCACGGGGACAAAAGGTAAGTTGGCCATGCTGTCTTAATTGCTGGTATTAATTAAATGCTAGCATAAATGTTATTGTAGTGCTTTCAGAGAAGCTAACATAAGCTACAAAGCAGCTGAAATACTTTTTCAGCCAGAGTTGTGCTTTTAAAATGCCAGGATGGAGCAATTCGGTGATTCCAGAGTTGATGCAGTTTGTGTGTTTGCATATTCACGATACACAAAGCTAAATACAGTGAAGCTGTTTTTATTTTTAGGGAGAACCTGGTGTGCCTGGATCGCGTGGATTTCCAGTAAGTTACAAGATTGAAAATCTATGTGCAGGTGAAATTCTGCTAGTGGGAGAAGTTTGATGAAGTTTTCTTTGGAATGTACATTCCAAAGGGTTTAAGGACTTACTTAATTTGGTGTCACACACCATGAGTAAAAACATCTTAGAGAACTTGGAGTATACTGTATAAAATACTCGTATCTATGTGCAGGCGGCCTTGATTCAGTAGACAACCCTTTTGCTTCCCCGACAGAAACCGGTACTTGCATAACAATAGCATGTCTGAGTATTGAATGCGTAAACCCTTAGCCACACCACTTTCCTCACCAGTAGTTTGATATCCACTAAGGACAGACACAATGTCACCTGCCTGATTCCTGCATTGGAACCTTTCCCTGCCTTGTATGATCACTTGGAATTAAGTTATTGATGGATATAAGAGAAACTGGTTTTAGGCTGTTTTTCCTCTCTCTCTCTCTCTCTCTCTCTCTCTCTCTCTCTCTCTCTCTCTCTCTCTCTCTCTCTCTTTTCCTTTTTGTCTTTCTCCCTCTTTCTTTTTGGCTCTTATTACTCTGTGTTTCTTCTCATTTCTTTTGTTTATTTGTATCCTCTGCTTTATCTCTGCAGATAATAATAAGCCAGTTCCAGCAGTGAATAGCATGCTGGTCTTTAATAATATTGAGCTTACGTCCCAATATCTTATATAGATGCCTTTTTTACAGTCAATGAAATCTCATAAACATCTAGGTCTCTGATAATGAGGTAACTTATTAACCAAGATTTTTGAATGTACAACTGTTGCCCTAGTTAAACTAAGTATAAAAATATTCAAATAGGAGTAATTTTTCAAAGAATGCTTTGAAAAACCCCACTTATTATAAAGCATGCTGACCATGTGCAGTTCTTATTTGTTTCGGTTGCCTAAGTAGTTAGAAATAATATGATCAGAGGATCTTCATTGATTCCGTAGACTGCTTTACACTTTAGAAAAATAAGTCTAGCTTGCTAAGTTAGTATAAATATAATGTCAGAGACAGCAGTGACCAAAGGCTGTTGAAGCCAATGAAGGAGAAAAACAAAAAACAAAAAACAAAAAACAAAAAACAAACAAACAAACAACCAAGAAATTCCAAAGGGAAACATTGAAATTAGAAGGCAAAGAGAGAGAACAGAAATTTTAGGTAGTTATAATGTTCAGTTTTAAGTTTGATGCACGAGGCTCAGTTCTAGGAATCGGAGACAGAGAGACAAAGAAGGGATTTCAATATTTGACGTGTGTCCCCTGGTGTTGATAAAGAGACATAAAATGTAAAGAAGGGGGAGTTAGAATGATCAGCTCTACAATCAAATTTAGTGTAGTGAGTTAGGACAACCTTGTAGGCTCTCTCAGGAGGGACACCAGTTTGTTCTGAGTACTTTACCAGATTGGACAAACCATTTCTGACCCCTAATCCCCTGCCTCTTGTGTCGATGCCTGTGTGTGAACTTCTAAATGTCATTTATTATAAACTGCAAAACTATATTGTCTTTGGGGCCAGGAGCTGGCTCAGTGGAATAAGCGCTTCCGTGGCAAGCGCAAGGACCTGAGTTCAATCCCTGGTCCCCCACCCCCAAAAAAGAATCTATTAAAAAAAAAACCTATATTGTCTTCAATGTAGATTTTTCACTTTTTTTTTTTTTTGTGCCAGGGACCTTGAGCTTGCCAGGCAAGCACTTAAGCCACTGAGCTATCTCTCTGACCCTTCAATGTAGATTTTTAAGATAATACTACACATGAATAAAATCTGTAGACTCTTTGGTTAAGCTGTAGGTCTTTGGGAGTAATATAAGCTCTTCCATTAGAGAGCAAGAGCAACTTTATGGACAAGCATCGATATCTTCTTTGCTGTTCTTTTAAAAAAGTTTAGAAAAATATGAAAAAAAGTTTAGAAAAATATGAGCGTAGACCTCACAGATGCAGTTTCTCTTTCTTTACTTTTTTCCGAGCTGCAATCTTCTTTTTTTTTTTTTTTATTGGATTTTATTTTGACTACTGTTTTTTGTTGTTTTTCTTTTCTGTTTTTCTTTTCTTTCTTTTTTCTTTCTTTTCTTTTCTTTTCTTTTTTTTTTTTTCCAGAGTCAGGGATTGAACTCAGGCCCTTGCACTTGCCAGGCACGCACTTATTCAACTGAGCTATCTTCCCAGCCCTATTGGAACATTTTAGATATGCATAGTGGTAACATTCATCATGGGGAATCTGCAGAGCTATGCTTGCTTTTTTTGGTCACTCAGTGCTGTTTTGTATTTTTATTTTATTTTATTTTTTGGTACCAGGTATCAAACTCAGGACCTTGTACTTGCCAGGCAGGCACTTAAGCCACTGAGCTATCTCCCCGGCCCCTCAGTGCTGTTTTTAGACTGCGCACCTTATATTTTAGTGTTAAGAGTTTACAGTGTATCATTATACTGAGTTATGTCTGTGTCTGTATTTATATGAAGTATAAACCACATGTCATAACGTTTTTATTTTAATCTTTTAGGGTCGTGGTATTCCCGGGCCCCCTGTAAGTATCATTTCATCGTTTATTTTTACATAATCCATAAAAATGGCCTATTTCTTAAATGCTTATCTCACTCTTAAGCTGATCATTTTAGGGTTAATAGTATCTATATAATCTTATAGGGCTACTGCTAATGATAACATCCCTAATCTGCTAAACAAAATATTTACAAATTAATGAGATTTCTGTTCACTTTAAGTAAACTTTGGTCAAATGCACTATCAACTTATTGGAAACTAAAGCTAACACAAATATATAATTCTAAGTCTGTTGCTTATCATATTTGGTAGCATTTATGATAGACTGTCAGAGCACCCATAAATGACATTGTCACTATGATTTGTTGCCTTCAGGGTCCTCCTGGGACAACAGGGCTCCCTGGAGAACTTGGCCGTGTAGGACCTATTGTGAGTACCACAGTGTGTTTTCATAGACATTTGCTGGCTTAGGAAAAAGGGTTACTGGTAAAGGCAAATTAGCCTGACCTTGACACATGGATTTTACTTCAGTTGATAATATTGATGGGGACCAGGACTAATATAACTCATTTTACTGAGTGATCTTAATTTTTTACCTGAAGTTTTGAGCTAAACTCTCCTTCCCAACATTGAGATGGAGAGGTAAGTAAAAAACACCACTCCTGTTTTATAGACTCTGTGCCAGGGTTGTTGAGGTCTAGTGATTTATGTATTAGATTTTCCACATGAAATTTTAAAACAGCTTGAAGATATCTATCTGTCTGTCTGTCTATCTATGCATCTATGAACTGTCAAGTTATAATCATAATTTGACTTTAAACATTAAGCCTTGGCAAGCGCAAGGGCCTGAGTTCAATCCCCAGTTCCACAAACAAACAAACAAACAAACAAACAAACAAATAAATACTAAGGAACTGAACTTCATAGAGCAAATCCCTGATAAGCTTGCTTCCTGTGGCTATTCACTGAACATTTTATAAATACTGAAGTACTGATCTGATGAGAGGGTGGCATATTGTAAACTTGCAGAAGGGGGAAGTTACGTGCCACATACTCTGTGAGTTTCTCTATGATGCTGTTTGCACGCTGATGGTCAACTTTGAACCATGGAGTGGTGCCAAGTGACTGTGTGTTTAAGAGAATTGCACGGGGCACCTGATTTTCCATTTTAGAACATTAAGAAGGAAAACATGCCAAGGGTAAACGCTGATGTTGCGAGTAATTGAAACCTATTTTCATCTGAATGACTTACTTCAAGTTTCCCATGTTTGTTTCTCTGTCTGTTTCAAACGTGTCGTGACAGCCTGGGAGACAGACCTGGTGACCAGTAGCAGCAGGAGTCAGGCAGTGCAGGGGGAAACCTTCCGCGCCCAGCTCATGGCCAGGAAGGGCCTTCTTTTGCTCTGATTAGCTGGGGGCACTAGCACAATTGGCTGTTTGGCTCCTCTGTGTGTCACCCAAGAAAGCACATAGGACTGCTGATTTGTTTTCAGAGTAGATAAAGTGACCATCCTGTAGAAAAGAATTGGTTTTATTCATCCTGCCCCATGTCTCCTTTTGCTTTGTTTTGTACCTTGGTGAAGTTAAAACTTCTTTACTCTCGTGCTCTTGGGGCTGAATTGGATGTCACTGATGGGTCTCTTTATGCCGAGCTGAACTGTGCAGGGGCTTCAAGGAAAGTTATTTCTCATGCCTGTCCTGCTTTTGGCTTCAGTACTGCAAAATTGTCCACTTGTGTAACCACTGTGTCATGATTTTTAATGATTTAGGGTGACCCCGGGAGAAGAGGACCACCTGGCCCTCCTGGGCCCCCCGGCCCCAGTGTAAGTGATTTATTTACAGCCTGAACTTCTCCTTGTGCCTTAGAGTAGGGGATGAAGAGACCTCAGAATCCAAACCTGAAGCACCTTTAGTTGAGACGCTGTTCTAAATCCTCAAAATGACGACTGGTTTTTCCATCTACTCAGAGTGTTTTCAAAGACAGAAATGTAACTGAAGAGGCAGCTTTCACAAAGCAACACTTGTGATTTCTCAGCTGCTCAAAACTTTGGCTTTAAAAGAAGCATTTTCAAATGAACCAGGTCTTGCTCTAACAAATTTGAAAAATGACAATTTCAGTCAGAGGTAACCATATTTTTAATTGACATGACAGAGTTCCCTGTTTTTTTTTTTTTTTTTTCTCTGCTTACCATTTTGTCACCTTTTATTCACCCCAAAAAGTAGTCTACTGCAGTTAGGAGGTTTGCAAAAGGAATTTGTGCATGAGTGTAGCTTTTAGAACATTAGCGTGTTGTCTGCCACTATTCATTCCCTACATTTTAGTGTTATCGTAATGTATTCAGTAACGGGTCTAGAGAGTCTCATTACATAGGTCAGACTTGTAGTGGTCCTCCTGTTTTCAGCCTCCCAAGCACTGGGATTACAGCAGCGCACCACCACACCCAGTCTCAATCACTGTCTCAGCGCACCCCAGGGGCGGGTCCAGCATGGCACGCCAGGGATCAAACCCCGGTCCCTGTACCTGCCTAAGTAGGCATGTTAGTCTGCTGAGCTATCTGGCTGGCTGTTCCCTACATTTTATGAAACAAATATACTTAGTATATTTTTGCCCAGTGAACTTTCCATTATCAGTAGGTTTGAATTAATTTTTTAATTATATTCTTAATTGTAATATTTATTTACTTTAGGGAACAATCGGCTTTCATGATGGAGATCCCCTGGTAAGATGTTTTTCTTTGGAAAAAAAAATGTCATTTTCATTCAAAGACTGGGTAGTCTTCCAATGAGTTGTCTTTAAAATGACCAATCTGGAATATGCTTCTGTTTATTTATTTATTTTTTTTTATTTTTTATTTTTTTTGGCGGAACTGGGTATTGAACTCAGGCCCTTCCCTCAGCCAGGGAAGCGCTTATTCCACTGAGCCATCTCACCGGCCCCTGCTTCTGTTAATTTTTATTCAGGTGGCAGAGAGCCATGAGATTAGTGGGTTGGTGGCTGGAATGTGGACTATAGCCATCTCTCTCTGCAGTAATATCTGTTTTTCTTTTTTATAATTAATTTTATTGAGAAACAAATGACAATGAGACAGTTTCAAACCTGATTTGAAGGACAGTTTCAATAATTAATACATTATATATTGTTGTCTTCATAGTGGTTATTCATAGTACAAGATGCAGACAGGATATCCTGTCCAAGGGTCTACAGGGTGTTCAGGGTCTCACTACTAAATCGGTCTCATAGTGATCCACCTGTTTACAGTCTCCCAAGAGCTGGGATTACAGGCGCACGCCACCATGCCTAGTCTCAATTGCTGTCTCAGTGCGCCCCAGGGGCGGATCTGGCAAGGCAGGCCTGGGGATCGAACTGCTAGCCCCTGTGCCTGCTTACAGGTGCTTTAATCCCCTGATCTATTTGGCTAGCCCTCTGAGTTTTTTAATAATCTTTTTACTCTATGCCGAAGGTGTGCTTTTCACTGGTGCATCCTAATTTTTGGAGGTGTTTAATGGCTAGACAGCTAGCCCAGTGAAGATATGAAAGTCCATTATTTTGGGCCACTTGGTGGGTGGGTATGAACCTCAGGAAAAGGCTCTCTGGTAGAGGATCATGGTGCAATCTGTTGCCTGTAATTATTGTGGTCAATACATTAGGAAAATATGGCAAAATGTTACCATCTATTAAATCTGGATAATAGACTGTTCTATTATTGGGTGGGTATTTGTTGTATGTTTTCCTTTTTCTGGAAGCCAGATATATTTTTGAGTTTAAAAAGGAAATAAATGAAAAGGAAATTCAGTATTATTTCTGTAATGACTGCAATTTCCCGAGGTTTCTAAAGCTCCAATCTCTTAAAAAGTTCTACCTAGTCACAAAGCAGAGCCTCTACTTTCTGCTCTCTCTCCTGCCAGTGCCCCAACGCCTGCCCCCCAGCTCGCTCCGGATACCCAGGCCTACCCGGCATGAGGGTAAGAGGACAGTTTCATTTTATTTGCAAGAGTATTAGTCACAGAAGAAATGGAGCCTTCGCTACAAGCACTTGCCTTGTGGTGCAGGGACCCTGCTGGGACGCATTAGCTGGGCATGTGTTTGCTTATTTGGGGCTTAGTCCGTGGTGCATAGTCAGCGGTGGTTCCAGGATCCTCTGACAAGTGCTCCCTCTGAGACATAGAGTGCTCCCTCTGAGACATAGGGTGCTCCCTCTGAGACATAGGGTGCTCCCTCTGAGACATAGGGTGCTGCATTACTGTCACCTGTGAGCAAGTTCACAGGAGAGATGCCGGTGGGACCCGTTGGGCCCAGAGACGCCTGGCCACAGAGTAGAGGCTTCGTTTCAAGCAGAGAGGACGAGAGGGGGGAGTGTGGAGGAACTGTGTACCTAAGGTATTTATTTGAGACTGTTTTACTTGTTAAAGAGTTAGAAAGCCTACAGAATAAATAGGAAAAGAGATTTTCCTGAAGGTGTTTCGGTCTCACTCCACCATTATGATTGTTTTGAAATAGTCCACTAAAAAAACCCCAAAAACTAAAAAGCAAGAAACAAATGCCTGGGGCTGGGGACCAATGGCTTTTGCTGTATTCCCTGAGGCAGAAGAGATTCTGAGACCTTCCAGAGAAGGGCCCCAAGTGCCTGGCTTTCTCGAGTTTGCGCCAAGGGTGATTTTGGATGGTGCTCTCTGCTGTGCAAGTCTAGACTGGTGTCTTATTCCTTAGGAAAACTTGTGGGCTGGGTGGTGAAAGCTTCAAAAGACTCAGCAGTGGAGCATTTGTGTTGCAGTGTGGCTTGTGCTTCTCCTGACAGAACACATCTACTGGGACGGGTGACCCGGCAAGGAGAGGACAGGACCTCCTTCCTACCACATAGCCTGTGCCATTCCTGAGAGCTTTCTATGCTCCTTGCATGGCAGGCAGAAAGGCAGGAATCTGGAGATGCCCTGGGCTCACTGCAGCCCTCCCTCCAGCTCCAAGAAGGAGGCAGGGACGGAGGTGGTGGGAGGGCTTTCAGGGCAGCCATCAGAGAGTGGGACACTCGGCCAAACTGGCTGTGACGTGACAAAGCTAAGTTGCAGGTGCTGACAAAGACTTAAGGCTCTTAACCCACCTGCAGAAGGTATTTGGGGAGTGACAGGCGGGTCTCAGTGACTTGTGTCCTACAGCCTTTGTGCTGTTGAACCACGCTTCCCTGTTAAACAAAATGGGTGTTTCATGTAGTAGTCACGTTGGTATGTATGACCGTGTTGATACCACTTAAGACAGTGACTTTTTCTGTGATCTAACCTTTCCTCAGTTGCATGTGGGTACAGAGTTAGGGACACAGGGTCATTCCTTCACTTCCTGATCATTTCCAGTGGCAGGCCAAATACAGTATGATGTATGTCCATGTCTGTTTTTATGTTTGCTAGGGTCATAAAGGGACTAAAGGAGAAATCGGCGAGCCAGGAAGACAGGGACACAAGGTAAGGAAAACGAGTATTCTGGACAGACTGTGCCTGGGAGTCGTGGTTACTTCCACTGCAAGCCATTTCAGGGAATAATAAAACATCATGTTTTATGTTTTACTTTTCTCTTTCAATAATAACTGATGTGTTCTCAGTAGATGTGTTGATATTCTGACTAAGCTTAATATTCTGAAGTTGTTCAATTATGAAAAAAATAAAGTACCTGCTGCTTTGTTGTTATTTTTTTCCTATGAGGCTATCTTTTGATTTTCCTCCTTCTAAAAATCAGTCACATTCAGATTTTTTCCCCCATTGTTTGTGACAGTCAGGAATTTAACTAATTGTTCCTCCTCATAAAATAAAATTTTGTGACACATAATATTTTAGGACAAGTGTTCCTGAGGCCAGCAAACAGAGACATAGGTAATTGGCTTATAACTTCTCATCACCAGTTCTGAAATAATTTCTGTCTCTTCTCTTTTTATCACCTTATTTTATTTATTTATTTATTTATTTATTTATTTATTTATTTAGTGGTACCGGGGATTGAACTCAGGATGTTATGCTTGCCTGGCAGGCGCTTATTCTACTGAGCTATCTCTCAGGCCCTATCACCTTATTTCAAATATCCTAAAGTTTGAATAGGCTGGAAGTCAGTGATAACTTGTGCTCTTCCTTGGATAGAAATGTGGAACAGATAGCACAGGTAATTTACCCTGCAGAAAAATTAGAGTGTAGGGCAAGTGGTCTATTTACCACTTTATGCATCTACTAGGGTAAACCATCTGTAAATTCTAAGGATTTAAGAACTTGACTTCTGTGTAGTAGACCTTTCATCTTAGTATATTTTGTAATATTCTACTATTGGTTTTTGGTACTCGGATGTGAACACAGGGCCTTTGCACTGAACTGTATCCTCAGCCCTTCTTAACAATTTTTTATTTTGAGAGGACCAGCCAAATAGCTCAGAGGATTAAAGCAGGAGCAGGGGCCGGGAGTTCAATCCCCAGGCCTGCTGTGCTGTGCCAGCCCTGCCCCTGGGGCACTTTGAGACAGCAATTGAGACTGGGCGAGATGGCGCGGGCCTGTAATCTCAGCTCTTGGGAGGCTGTAAACAGGCAGATCACTACGAGTCTGATCTAGTAGTGAGACCCTGAACACTCTATAGACCCTTCCCTAAAATACAAAAAAAGCCCCAAAGAACAAAAACCAATTTTTTATTTTGAGACCGAGTCTCATTAAGTCACTAGATTGTCCAGGCTGGGTTTGCTCTTGTGACGCTCTTGCCTTGACCTTCCAGAATTCTAGAATTACAAGTGTATGGCACTAGGTGCAGCTAAGTCAACCCATTCTTATTATTCTTTTATTTTTTAAAAATGTATTTAATACAGGGTCTACAGGGTCTCACAAAGAAGATTGGACTTGTAGTGATCCCCAGTCTCAATAGCCATCTCAGCATGCCCTGGGGGCGGGGCCAGCATGGCAGGCCCGGGATCGAAATCC